AACTTCTATACAACGAAAGGAGACTGCGACCACACAAAAGGCCACACCATCTTGGTCTTCATATGTTCGATCGAACTTTAATACTTGCCTATGTTTTTTGTTTGTGTTTGTAGTCTATTCCTCTTGCTCTTTCTTTGAATTCACTTTATCATGAACTAATTTATTTACCGTACTTATTTTTACCCGCCATCTACTGATGAAAGCAGACTAAACAAATATATTCTTCCAATTTAATTTTTGAAAATTTCTGTAAAAAATAGTATTATTCTAAAATATTAATGTCAACAAATTTAAAGTGTAACGTTACGTTGCAAAATATAGACTCATTAAATTCTCTATTGCCAGTTCTTAAAATTATTCCCCTTCTTTCCAATTAGAGCCATTATCCAGACGAGATTGCAGCATCTAATCTCAGAGTTGGGCTCACTTTCCGAACAAAATTCCAAGCTGACTCGTGATCGTGACAAGGAACTTCGCGCAGCCAAGCGTGCTGTGCTCACATTAAAGGCACAAGAAGATGCCGTTAAGTTTGTCCGACTTAACCATGCCGATATCAAAGGGAAGTTGGATGATTTAGCTTTAGGCCAGGACACTAGCCTGCTAGCACGTCGGCAGAAACTTCACAAGGAAGTGCTTCATTTAACGCAAGCACTGGGCAAAGAAGTAAGTCTTATGCGATACTTATGGCTGTAATAAATCTGATAAATACTCATTCTTTTGATAAAGTCATGCATTTTAATGCTTTCAAAATAGAAAATTATATTACTAATATAAATAAGTTTTTTTAGTAGCCCGTTATGTTGGACAAACATCTTAAGTCTTCGACTCGTAAACACCTACTAAGCTGTATGAGGTGTAGTCACCTTTTTTCGCTTGGGGTAATACATGAAAATTTGCCTATCAGCCGAGAAATACTTAGCTAATTGTAATAAAGCTTTTAAATGGTTCATACTTTATTAGCACCAGTTTCGCATCAAAATCACATTTGAATTGCCTGAATGTTAATGCATCGTTGCCTCTCAACTAAACCTTACTGCTCCTTCAGCTCATCAGTCCCCATTCTCTTGGTTTGAATGCAATTAACCAGGTAAACCTTATAACACATTTGAGAGGTATTCACCCAATTTTGTTTAAGGTGATGAAGGACTGATGGTAGAATTTTACCACATTGATATGAGTAGAGCTGACGTTTTCATTGAATTTCACATAGTCTTGCTTTCCCGAAAGTTATTCTTATTCAGGTTGGACTGCAGTTTCGACCTCGCATCGGTCTTATCAACACCCCAAGCCGGAGTCGAACTGTGAAGGTGGGGAATGGGAGCTTGACACGTTACCCACTCGACCACATTGCCACCGGGCTGATGTGAATTTTAACGGATTACCTATTAAGATTCATCCCTACAATATCTCTATTAGCCGCATTGGATAAACTCGGTCACCTTTGCTCTCCTACTAACAAGGCCCGGTCTGATTGAAGGTTTATTTTTATATATTTGATAGCATTGCTCCAAACGCATGACTATCATTGATAATTAAAATGCGTCAACGGTAAGAATATTTCGAGCTTCCTAAGTGTATGATTCCACTTTCATGAGCAACTTAAGGTTCTTAAATGGCCGCCTCTGCTCATGTGATGTATATTAACTAGATCGCTGGTTGTTTAAACGTACGATAGAAAACAACCCAATACTTAGTGCATTCTTTTAACAAAAAACCCTAAACAAGGCCAAATTTGTATTGAGGGATATATTTAAAGAGCTGAAGTATTTGGATTATACTTCAAATTCCCTATTCTAGTATTCAGCTTCAGTATCAGTGATGGTATTGATATTTCGATAAAGAAATGATAATCGAACTGCGTCCTTAATTCTGCCATTTTTTTCAAATTTTCTTGCCATAAAATCAAGTTCTTCGTCAGTAGCCAATGTTTATGAGTATATATAAATACGATTTCGACATTTAATGATTTCATGCATAAGCTAGCTCATAAAGTTCGAATGAAATTATGGTGTATACATACCACGAAACGCTGCCAAGATAATGCCACCGTAGTGCATCCAGACTAGCCAAATCGACCTTTAAAATCTATCCACAATTCAAAGTAAAGTTTCCTCGACCCAAAGAATTCCAAGCTGGCACGATTTGGAAAGTTTTTAGACACAGAAGTCACCTAATTATTCCCTTCACTTCCAACATTTGTGTTTTGCTCTAAAGTTAGTATTTATTTCTCACTAACTTGTGAAAGCTTTCTTTTAAGGGCTCTGGCTGCCGATTTCATATCTACTTCATAATGTGCGTCTTCATCTAAGGGCAATTCGGCTGAAAAGAGGACTAATTTCTATAATCAAACTCCACTTTTAGAGGGGAAAAGTTGACCTAGTGGAATAATCTAGCTTTACCCGTGTTTTTTATGTAGTAATAAAGATTTGTTAGAGGTCGCATGATATAGATTGGCGCAGGGGCAAAGAGCTGATGAAAAGACAAATTATCACGATTAAATTTTCCTAGCTCCTATTATTATAGTTTTTGATACGAGCTTTTATGCAAGAATATCGCTGGATTTTGAGTTAAGTCTTTACTAGTTTGCTTGGCACTACTGAACCGACTACACAAAAGTATAAAAGTAGCTACAGTTGCAAGATAAAATTGGCTTCGTACAGAGTAAATAGTCAAAAGGACTTACGTGGAGTAGGACGCAAATTTTGTCAAAGCTTGTCTTGAGTTCACTTAAAAGAGTAGAAGTTTCTCGACGCAATACAAAAGGTGATGCGAAAATCTCGGCCAGATCTAATATCGTTTTTACAAGTTTCGCCAGCAGCAAGTTTCGGAGAGGGCAGCAAAACATTTTACTATCCTTGCTCAAGTGCCTGCTTGTTCCCTCGCTTGGATGTATATGAAAGCGCTTATGAAAATGTCATTGTTGCCAAAATGTTATTGGGTCACAAACTATGCATAGCCAAGATAAGGTTGAGGAGAGAACCTGAGGTATAAGCTCTAAAAAAAATGTTGACTTACATTTTGAAGCAGTATGTGCACTCGAAAGTTTCGCAGACTGGCTCGTTTGGCTTAACAGGTAGCAAGTCCATATTTAGTTGAAAATATGGATATTTTGCCATTAAATTAAAACGGCTATGCTGTTAGGCATTTTATTTTCCTTACTCCCCTAATTTATACCTGAAAATGCCTTATTTAAGGTCCATTGTCTCTTTTATCACTATACTATTCTCCTGGAGGTTATGAAGGATTATTTTTACGCCTACCTAGAATCAGTTGGGCGAATCGGAGCAGGTCAACCTAATGAAAGTGACGCAGGATGAAAAGAGGCGAATGCTGGAGCTCAGTGATCTACGCATCGAAACTGTTGAATTAAATCGGCTCGCCCTTATAAAAGTGGACGAAAGAGAAATGAAGGCGAGAGATATGAGAACAGCAGAAAAGCGCATTACACGAATCTTAGAAGATATTCGGTCCAGAGACATCGCAATAGAAGAACACTCAAAAAAACTTCATGGTCTTCAGGTAGGCTGTTAATTATAGACTTATCAGGCTTGGACTATATTTTAGACAACTTTATAAAGTAGAATATTCTTAGACGTTGTTTAACCATGTTTTCGCAACTTGGCGATATTAGTAGGAAGACTTAGAGAAACTCACCCTGTCCTGAGTCCATAGTATGCATAATTATTTCCAAAATCGGACCGTGGACGTGGTATATCCGCAGACGTTTCGCCGGCATCGGAGTCGGCATCGTCAGTGAGTTTTACCATTCGTAGCATCATATTACAACTCGTCAAAAGAGACAAGTAAGGCCGATCCTTTGATCAAAGGTGTACTAAACAGTTATGGCACCTACCCTTCTTCCCTGGCCTATGTACTTTTCCTATATCCTCCTATCACACATTCAATGTCACCATTTTTTTACTTGCTTAATTAAATGTGGTAAGGTGTACCATTTTGAGCGGCTTTCATGAGAACCTTTCGCACTCCACGCTGGCCTTCTCACCCCCCTTCATATCCTTGTGCTAGGACTGTGGATCAGAGTCTGCCATATTGTTACGCAGTCCTCCTTCGATACGTCTTACCACAGTCTCTCTCTTGCCCCGTAATATCCGTCTGCCCTCTCCCTCGTTAACATATTTCACTCGACCCCTACCACCCCATTCCGTGCCACTCGAGGCGTTATTGACCTTCCACTTCGTCTGAATAACTATTCGAGGCTAAAACCTCTGATTAAATGTCATGGTCACGCCTTTTTCACATGGACCACGTCTTTTATAGAACCTAGTGTGAGCCAACTAGCTCCCATCGCCGCCGCGTCTATCCTGTTCCTATCTCTAATATCAAGTCTATGACTTTCCTTGCCCTAGTCTCTTTTGTTGCAAACCCACAAATGTTGTGGTACTGCTTGTTTTGGTTAGGTTCAATGTTAAACCAGAACGTTTGTAGGTTGGCACACAAGAGACTAGAGCATAGCAATTCATAGACTTGGTATTAGAGATAGAGACAGGATAGACGAGGCGGCGATTGGAGCAAGTGAGCTGACAGTAGTTTTGATAGGAGACGTCGTCCATGTGGCAAAGGCGTGACCATGATATTTACTCAGAGGTTTTAGCCTCGAATTAGTCACCCAGACTAAGGGTAGGGCTAATAACGCCCCAAGTTGGCACAGATAGGGTGGCAGGGGTCTAGTGAAATATGTGAACCAGAGAGAGGGCAGACGGATCTTATGGGGCAAGAGAGAGACTGTGACAAGACCTAGGGAAGAAGGACTGCGTAACAATATGACAGACTCTGATCCATATTCCCAGCACAAGGATGAAGGGAGATGAGAAGGCCAGCGTGGAGTGCAGAGGGTTCTCATGAAAGCCGGTAAAAAGGGCACACGGTACCACATTTAATTAAGCAAATAAAAAATTGACAGTGCAGGCGTGATAGGAAGATATAGGAAATGTGAATAGGCCAGGGCAGAAGAGTAGATACCATAACTGTTTAGCACACGTTTGGTCAAAGGATCGGCTTTACTTGTCTCTTTGACCAGTCGTAATATGGTGCTACGAATGGTAAAACTCACTAACGATGCCGACTACGATGCCGTCGAAATGTCTGGGAATGTACCACGTCCACGGTCTGACTTTGGAAATGATTATGCATACAATGGACTTCGGACTCGGTGCGTTCCTCTAAGTCCTTCTACTAATATGACCAAGTTGCGAAAACAAGGTCTAACAACTTCTATACAACGAAAGGAGACTGCGTCCACACAAAAGGTCACACCATCTTGGTCTTCATACCTTAGAATAATCTTGTTCGAGCAATCCAAATTAGCTCTGGTTTTGACCACCCAGCTAGTCCATTTTGCTCCGGATATGTATAGGATTACGTAACTTTTTATTCCGACGAATCCTGTTTTACCGATAGATATTATGCCATCGATGCTCATCTAATAACTCTTTAACATCACCTAATTTTCACATGTGTTTCCCTATCGTTTTATTTTAGGTTCAACTTCAGGATTTTGCTCAAATGTATGAGCAAATAAAATCTGAACGCAATAAGTGCATCCATCTCATTCAGGCGGCCCACCAAAATAGCGTAGAGTTGCGTGAGAAACTTCGTATATTCGAAAATGAAATTGAAATACTTTTAGCCAGCTTATCAAACAGAGAGCATCTGGTAGCTAAACAGAGGAACAAACAAGCAATTGAAACAATGCAGCGTGATTCGCTGAGACAGGAAACTTCCAAACAGGTAAATTTTTAACTAGGACTAAAAATTTGACTTTTTAAAAATCTTGAATGTAATCGGGAATGGTTCATGAACATGTTTATGGTTTCTGGCAAGCCTAAATGAATGCTCTGAACCATTCTTGAAAATACACTATAAGTTGAGCTAATTTATACCCTTCAGAATAAAGCCAGGATAGAAAGTTAATAAAGTTTTGAGTTAGCAATTAATAATCAAAGTTATATCCGTCGGCATATCTATTTCAATCAGCTCAGCCAGATTCTATGAGCAAGATGTTCAACTTATTGATTTAACGTATTC